GAGGTGGGAGGGGGGACTGGGATGGGGAATACATGTAAATCCATGGCTAATTCATTTCAATGTATGACAAAAACTACTGTAATGATGTAAAGTAATTAGCCTCCAACTAATAAAAATAAATGGAAAAAAAAAAGAAAAAAAAAAGAAAATAAAAAGCAGAGATATTACTTTGGCAACAAAGGTCCATCTAGTCAAAGCTATGGTTTTTCCAGGAGTCATGTATGGATGTGACAGTTGGACTATAAAGAAAGATAAGCACTGAAGAATTGATGCTTTTGAACTGTGGTGTTGGAGAAGACTCTTGAGAGTCCCCTGGACTAAAAGGAGATCCAACCAGTCTATCCTAAAGGAAATCAGTCCAGAATGTTCATTGGAAGAACTGATGTTGAAGCTGAAACTCCAATACTTTGGCCACCTGATCCGAACAGCTCACTCATTTGAAAAGACCCTGATGTTGGGAAAGACTGAAGTCTGGAGGAGAAGGGGACGACAGAGGATGAGATGGCTGGATGGCATCACCAACTCAATGGACATGAGTTTGAGTAAACTCTGGGAGCTGGTGATGTACAGGGAAGCCTGTTGTGCTGCAGTCCATGGGGTTGCAAAGAGTCGGACACGACTGAGCAACTGAACTGAACTGATTTGCACTGTGATTTGTTTTGGTGTACACCCTGGCAGAAAATCAACTGACTTCAAAAGTGATCAATTCTGTATTCCCTATTCTGTTCCACTGATACACATCTATATTTTTGATATCACACTCTCTTGATTATTATAATTGATAGGTAATATGGAAATAATGTAGAATTAACTTTGTTCTTTTTCAAAATCATTTTGGCTCCTGTAGGTCCTTTGCATTTCCACATAAATTTTAGAATCAGCTTGTTAATTTCAATCCCAACTTTCTGAGATTTGATTGAGATTACATTGAATCTATAGGTCAATTTGGGAAGGATAGACATTTTTACAATACTGTATCTTCTAATCCATGAACATGGATATCTTTCCAATGATTCAGGTCTTCTTTAATTTTTCTCAGTAATGTTTTATAGTTTCTCCATAGAGGTTTTGCACACTGTGGCACAAGAGCTTAATAGCCCTGTGACATGTGGGATCTTCCCATGCCAGCGATCGAACTGGTGTCCTCTGCATTGGCAGGCAGATTCTTAACCACTAGACCACTAGATATGTCCTCTCTAGCTTCTTGATATTGAAATTAGATCACTGACTTTTTAACCTTTCTTTTTTTCTAAAATATACATTTGGAGGTATAAATTACTCTCTGGACACTGCTTTAGCTACAGCTTATAAGTCAGCACTTTTTAAAAAATGTGCTCATACTTTTATTTCTTTGTCGAACTGTACTCACACTTGATGTGAAAGTCATTCAGTCGTGTTCGACTCTTTACAATCCCACGGACTATACAGTCCGTGGAATTCTCCATGCCAGAATACTGGAGTGGGTAGCCTTTCCCTTCTCCAGGGGTGTTCCCAACCCAGGGATCGGACCCAGGTCTCCCACACTGCAGGCAGATTCTTTACCAGCTGAGCCACAATCACATTTTCAGGAAGTCTGTACAAAAACAAATCTCTTTAACTTTGGATATTAAAAAGCATCTTAACATACAGAATTCTGTCACATTTTCTTCTTTTTTCTTATCATTTTCACCACAATTATTCATAAACAGACATATTAGGGACAATCATTCTGCCACAAGTCATCATAAGACTCCATCTGTTATTTAGTCGCTAAGTCATGTCTGACTCTTTTGCAACCCCACAGACTGTAGCCCACCAGGCTCCTCTGTCCATGGGATTTCCCAGGCAAGAATACTGGAGTGGGTTGCCATTTCCTTCTCCAATCTTATACGTTTTGATATGTCATATTTTCAAAATAATTTCTTAAAAAATTGCCTAATTTCCATTATAATTTCTTCTTTGACTTATTATTTAGAAGTATGTTGTTCTTTCCACTGCCAGTCACCATAGTTCCTCCAAAGTTGTCATCTTCAAGGCAGCCCTTACAAAAAGGACAGTCACCTGTCCTTCACTATCTCCCAGAGCTTGCTCAAACTCATGTCCATTGAGTGGGTGATGCCATCCAACTATCTCATCCTCTGTTGTCCCCTTCTCCTCCTGCCTTCAGTCTCTCCCAGCATTGGGGTCTTTTCAAGTGAGTTGGCCCTTTGCATTAGGTGGCCGAAGTATTGGAGTTTCAGGTTCAGCATCAGTCCTTCCAATGAATATTCAGGACTGATTTCCTTTAAGACTGATTGGTTTGATCTCCTCACTGTCCAAGGGACTCTCAAGAGTCTTCTCCAGCACCAGAGTTCAAAAGCATCAATTCTTCCGTGCTCAGCTTTCTTTATGGTCCAACTCTCACATCCACACATGACTACTGGAAAAACCATAGCTTTGACTAGATGGACCTTTGTCAGCAAAGTAGTGTCTCTGCTTTTTAATATGCTATCAGTTGTGCTAAAACTCTAATTGTAATCATGGGTTGATTTCTTTTAATTATGTAATTTTTTATTTTGCATATTTGAAATTATGTTATGAAGTACATAAAATTGAGGAGTGTTTTATCTTCCTGTTGACTCTTTTTTTTGACTCTTTAATAATTATAAAATATCCCTCCTTTTTTTCTAGAATACTTTCTCTTCCAGTCTACTTGTTTGAAATTTAAAAGGCCACACCAGCTTTCTTTTGGTTAGTGTGATCATAGTGTACATATTCCATTAGTTTCTCAATATTTCTGTGTTCTTAAAAGTATGTCTTTTTCAAAATAAAATTATTTACAGCTATCCTGTGTCTTTGTTGCTATGTGTGAGTTTTCTCTAGTGTGGCAAGCACGGGCTACTCTTCATTGCAGTGCACGGGCTTTTCATTGCTGTGGCTTCTCTAGTCGCAAAGGACAGACTCTAGGTGAGCAAGCTTCAGTAGTTGAAGTACTCGAGCTCAGCTGCTCCTCGACATGTGGGATCTTCCCGGACCAGGCTATAAGCCTGCCATCTTGCTGTTTGTCTCCTGTTTTTTGTTCTTTTATTCTTTCTTGAATTCTGTTAGATTAATCAAGTATTTTGTTATTTCATTTTCTCTATTGTATTTTTACTTATCTGTTCATTTATTATTCATCTTTCTATATTTATAGGAGAATTTTGAAGAAGGTAATGCTTATTCTAAAGGACAAGATCTAATACTAGACTATCAGAGAGTCTGGTACCTACAAAGGTTAGGTGCCAGTGGGCTGTAACCACAAACCCATCAGTTTGACAGCCCAGGACATCTTCCCAACACGTAGCATTCACTATACAGTAATAGTAATACAATAGCTAACACTTAGATTTGCCCTTCCTATATGGCAGGCATATATATAAACGAATTTAACTATGAATATGAACATAGATAAACACTGAAACGATGCCTTCTTTTCTATACTTTGTCCACCCCCCGCCCCCGACAGTCTGGTTCATTGGTGCAACAGGCCCCCAAGTGCCCTGCCTCCTTTCTTGGTAACTGCTTGAGAGAGATGGGGCTTCAAAAATGGACTATGGCTGCTCCATCCTTATAGGATAAGTGGCCTTTTAGTCACAGCCCATTACGTATGTATCTCCTACCCTTAAAAGTGTGCACCTCTGTATGCCCACCCCCAACCATCCTTAGCACAAGGATGCTCAGAAACTGTCAAATGAAGTCAAGAATGAAGGCTGACTGGTCTTCTGATTATATAACACAGATACACATGTAAACCATTAGTGGTGAACAGTATTCCCCCCACCTTGGGAAAGCAGTATTCCAGCCCCTTCTCAACCCATAACATCCTTCCATGAAACCGGCATGAGTCGGCCCAGGGGAGGGGAGGAAGGAGTAAGAGTGACGGGTCCGTTTCCATCTGTCGGGGTAAAGGTAAACCCTGCCTCCTCACCAGTCCCCAAGCGGATGCCACCCCCTTGCTCAGATCGCTTTTTTCTCTAACTCTTGCGTGAGCGTAGACACACACACTCTCTCTCTCTCTTTCTCTCTCACTCCCTAATTGGGCATCAGCGGATATTATGGAGGGAGGTGTAGGAATGGCAGGGGGTTTGCATCCTTTCTCTACCTTGCTCTCCTTCCCAGCTTCTAGATGCTCCCCCATCACTCTCCTCGACTACAGCACTAAAGGATTCCGCAGCGGGTCACTGCCCGCGCGCTGCGGCAGCTTGGTCCGCTAGACCTCGCCCCGAGGAACGGACCCAGTGAGGATCCTATCCACTAACGGAGGCGCCCTCCCCTCTCTACCGAGGAGTCACCTGGAGCCGGGCGTGGTTCCCACGCCGTTCCCTCGCAGCCGCGCCTCGTGATTGGGTAGCAGGTTTACCGTGCGGGACGCCATTGGCTGCAACGCCTGTCGTTCCTGTGCCCAGGCCCCACCTTTAAGGGGCAGCCCGGAACTGAGGGCCGGGAACAGGCCACAGCGTGGAGGCGGGAGGCGGGGGGATGGGGAGGGGGTTGCTCTACAGTCGCAGAGGTCTGGAGTCCTGTCAGCCCCCACCTCCCGGTTGGTTGACTCCCGCTCCCTGGCGCTCTGGGCCTCGCCTTCCAACGGCCTCGCGCGGTCTGCGCGTGCGCACTAGTCCACTCTCGCGCCCTCCAGGCGGTGGGCGGGGCTTGGGGTGGGCGGACTAGGGACCACGGAGAGGCGTAATGTCTTTGGAGAAAGGGGCTCTGTTTGGATATCCGCTCGGGGACAGGAGGGAGTGGCGGGGTAAGCCACAAAGAGCGGCAAGGGGGCGCGACAAGGCCCGCTGCCAGGGCGCCCGAGGCCAGGCCAGGACCTTCGGGCTGTCGCAACTGGAACCGGGAAGCAGAGGGGCGCAGACGATGCGAGAAAAGTTATGGATGCCCTGGAACGGGCTCATCGTCATTGGCAGGAAAATGGAGCTCCTGGGTAGAAAGACGCGAAGACCTAAAACGTGGGACCCGAAGCTTGAGTCTGAGAACTGGAGACTGGAAGATGTAGAAAAGACAGTCTTAAGAGGAAAGTCAGGCCGGAGTCCGGAAAGGATGGATGTGAAACGAGTGCGCAGTGTATCAAGTGCATTACAGATTTCGGCAGGTTTGCGGAAAGACAGCTCAAAGGAGGTGTGGGGAAAGCAAGAATTCAGACACACAGTAGAGGCTGAATCTGAGAGTGCAGGGGCTGCAGTGGGATCTCGGAAGGGGCCTGCGTTTAAAGAGAAGTTGAAGTTTACTGACGTGGAAACCAGTGGAGAGGACTTGAGATCCAGAGGATACGAAGTAAAGCAGAATGAGGAGGAGCTGAGGTCAAGTGGAGAGAAACTGAGTTCCAGTGGAGATAAGCTGAGATCCAGTGGAGAGGAGCTGAGATCCAGTGGAGAGAAGCTGAGATCGAGTGGAGAGAAGCTGAGATCGAGTGGAGAGAAGCTGAGATCGAGTGGAGAGAAGCTGAGATCGAGTGGAGAGGAGCTGAGATCGAGTGGAGAGGAGCTGAGATCGAGTGGAGAGGAGCTGAGATCGAGTGGAGAGAAACTGAATTTGAGTGGAGAGAAGCTGGAGTCCAGGGAAGAGAGGCGGGGATCCAGGGGAGAGAGGCGGGGATCTAGGGGAGAGAGGCGGGGATCCAGGGGAGAGAGACGGGGATCCAGGGGAGAGAGGCGGGGATCCAGGGGAGAGAAGCTGGGAACAAGTGGAGAGAAGCTAGTACCCAGGAGAGAGAGGCGGGGGTCCAGGGCAGAGAGGCGGGGATCCGGGGCAGAGAGGCGGGGATCCGGAGCAGAGAGGCGGGGATCCAGGGGAGGGGATCTGGGGACAAGTGGAGAGGAGTTGAGATCTACTGGAGATAAACAGCGTTCAAGTACAGAGAAGCAGCGATCCAGTAGGGAGAAGCTGGGGACTAGTGGAGACAAGTTGGCGCGTTCAAGAATGGGGAGCATAAATGAAGAGCAAATTGAGAGAGTGGTGGAAGTGGTTGGGGATGAAAGATTGATAGAAATCACCAATGCTGAGATGGAAATTCCTTTTGAAAGTGTAGAGGCGAATGATGAAGAAGAGAATGAGGAAGGGGTGGGGGAGGAGGAGGATATCTTAGAAGAAGAGAATGATAATAGTGATGAATCTGTTTCTATGGAAGAGAAAGCAATTATAGAGGAGGAAGATGAAGTGAGTGAGGAGATGGAGAATGTAAGAAGGAAAGAGGAGCAAATAGGGGATGTTTTGCAAGTCAAAGAGGAGAAATTAGAGTGAAGCAGAATGCTATTGACCCTGAAGGGGTAAATAGAGAAAGCATCTGAGCCTAAGAGAAGAAAGAGTGGGAATGAAGAGCTACTGGGAATGAGGTGGACACCAGGACCAAAGGAAGTGAAAAAGCCTGATAGAGGGAAGTGGAACATTTTGGGAAGAAAGAGATTTGTTAATATGTCGGTAGCTAGAGGAAAAGTGGACATTGGTTTCTTGGAAAAGAGCTGTGACTAAGGAGCTTGTAGAGAAGTGCTTGAGAAATGGATTGAGGACGGGCCAGAAAGATTTAGTTTAACAGATGATTGAGTTTATGAGATGTAGGAGAATGCATAGTGAGAAAAATGGACAGTGACAGCGGGATGAGGATAGATCATGAAGGTGGTGGAAAGAGATGTGGGCTGGAGTGATCAGTGTCTGATAGAGGATCCTAAAGGATGAGGAGCTCGACAAAGGCGAGAGCAGAGATGAGAAAATAAAGAAGTGACGGAAAAAAGTAAGAAGCTACATCCCATAATAGTAATCATGTTTGTTGGATTTTAAAGTTATTTCTTCCCTGTTTCTCTCCTCTCCCATGTAGCTGATTTTACAGTGCAGTGGGACAGGCCTCACACTGGGTCCTGTGTATCTGGTCCAGCCTCCCTGATCTTCCCTCTAGCCTGCAAATTGTAACCAGAATAACTTCCAGAATAACAGAATAGCCCTGTTTTATTTTATTTCTTGGCTGTGCTGGGTCTTTATTGCAGCATATGGGCCCTTCATTGTGGCCCACGGGGCTTAGTTGCCCCCTGCATGTGGGATCTTAGGTCCCTGACCAGGGACTGAACACCCATCCCCTGCATTGGAAGGCAGATTCTTAACCACTGGGCAACCAGGGAAGTCCCATGGGTTCCCCTATTTTAAATTTAGTTATTTATTTTTAAATGAAACAAAAAATATTTTTAATGATAAAAGGTACAATTCACAGAGAAGATAGGCATCGTAAACCATTAGCCACCTAACAACAAAGAAACAAAGATACATAAAGCAAAAATCAGAAGAAATATAAGGGAAAAGAAAAAAAATATAATCATAGTGAGATTTAGTACCATTTCTCTGAGAGTGTGAAGTTCAGAAAAAATAAGAATAGGAGCATCTTGAATGATGTCATTAATAATTTAAATATAATAGATTTCTATTCATATTAATCTTATATCCTACACAAATAAATTTAAAATTTTATATCTCATATGTTATTAGATGTCCATAGGACTTTTAGAAAAACTGGCAAAAAGATAAACATTACTAAATTTCAAAAAATAGAATTCTTTTATTTTTGTGATTCGTTATATGTATACACATATATTATTTTGAAATTATTTTCTGTTACAGGTTATTACAAGATATTGACTATAGTTCCCTGTGCTATACAGTAAACCTTTGTTGCTGGTTACATATGTATTTTTTTAAATTAGAAATCTAGCGTTCTGTTTATGCTAAGTCAAACAAGTGGAATCAAAGTGTCATAAATTTTTTAGGCAAAAATTCATAAGTTTTCTAATATATACATTATACATATTATTTATATATATGTATACAAGAGCTTTTCTACTATGCTTGATAAAGGCTTGAGAAAGTACATTAAAAAAAAGAAAAGAGAGAAATTGGAAAGCATAAACTAAACGAAATGGGAACACCGAGTATGAAATAGAAGAAGTGAAACAAGATAGATAAAAGATCCTCATACAGACCAGTTCTTTGTAAACATGGCTGCTCATTAGAAATGTATCTGGAGTTGTAGCAAAGAAAAAAAAAAAGCATCTGGGCATTTATATTTTTCAAAAAATTCCAATATAATTCTGATATGCATCTGGATTTTAAAAAGTGATTACAGGTTTTTCTATTAAATGGTAGTTTTGGTGATATAGAATTCTATTATTTTCCTGTTGACCAATCATGATACAATGGATTCCACCATTTTAATCACTTCACCATGATCACTATTTCCACGAGTTCCCCTTACCTCCACATCAAATTTGAATTGCTCATACTTGATTTGAAATTGTCTCGATTATTTTGTATTATTATTGTTTCCATTTTTACTTTTAATTATTCATCTAATCAGATGGAGTTTCCCCCTGTGCCTGTCTCCTTTGGGGCTTTCTTGTATGTCTTCCACTTGTCATCCAGCATCCACTGTCACCCCAGGGAAGAGAGGAGACTCCCTAAGTATGTAGTGTCAAAGCATCAGTATTAAGACTTGGTCTCTCCAGTAGGGACCTAAGAGGTGGTGAAAAGCAGTCATGGATAGTTAGGATGAAAGGAATACTTCACCCTTTCTCCTCCATATAGTTTAAAAAATCTATACAATTTCTAAGGGGTAGAAATTTCATTATATCATAAGTAAGTCTCATAACAAATTTATATAAATAATAGTCTTATTTTTTTCAGCTGTTAAGTTTTCTGGACTTCCCTGATGGCTCAGTGGTAAAAAATTCACCTGCCAATTCAGGAGACATGGGTTCAATCCCTGGTCCGAAAAGATCCCACATGCCTCAGAGCAACTAAGCCCATGTGTTACAACTATTGAGCCTGAGCTCTGGAGCCCAGGAACCTCAATTACTGAGCTGACACGCCCCATCTGTTAAAGCCTGCTAATCCTAGAGTCTGTGTCCTGCAACAAGAGAAGCCATCACAATGAGAAGCATGCACACCACACCTAGAGAAAAGCCCATGCAGCAACGAAGACCCAGCACAGCCATAAATAAATAAATAAAATTATATACAAAGCATGTTGGTAAACCTTTAAAAAAAAGTTTTATACACATCCCTTTATAATTTTCCCCAGTCTCCAAAAGATCTAAACTCTATGCCATATTTTTGAAATTATTTATTTACTTGGCTTTAGCAGGTCTTAATTGAGTCATGTGGGATCTTCCATCTTTATTACAGCATGCCACATCTAGTTCCCTGACCAGGGATCAAACCTGGCCCCCTGTATTGGGGCCATGGAGTCTTAGCCAGTGGCCCACCAGAGAAGTCCTGCAAGGTATCTTTTTGACTTATAGTTTTCTCCAGATAGATGCCCAGGAATGGAATTACAGAATCCTATGGTAACTCTGTTTAGTTTTCTGAGAAACCCCTATAGTGGCTGTACCAATTTATACTCCCACCAGCAGCATAGGAGAGTTCCTTTTTCTGCACACCCTTTCAAACATTTATTATTTGTAGACTTTTTGATGATGGCCTTGCTGTTTTCTTTATGAATTTACCTGTGAGTGAGTGACTAACACAATGAACAAATCAACTGTATTATTGTACTGTTACTGCCGTGTACAGCAAAATAGTCTCAAACCAGTTATTGTAAACATGCAATCTTTTCTCTCATCTCAAAAACAAAACCTTTCATGCCCCTACATTCCTCTCTAGATACTGTCGCATTTTCTTTCTTCCTGTACTAGGCAAAAAAGTGGCCCTCCAAAGATACATTCCTTTCCTAATCCCAGGAACTTGTGAATATCACCCATGTGGCAGAAGAATGCACATTACTTTATATGGTGAAAGATGTGATTAAGTTAAAGATCTTGAGAGGAGGAACTTATTCTGGATAATCTGGGTGAGCCTGATAGGCCAGTGCAAGTGTCCTTATAAAAGAGAGACAGGAAGAGATCAAACACAGGCAGAAGTAGAGGAGGCAATGTGACTCCAGAGGCAGAGACTGGAGTGAGGCGCGGGTAAGCCCCCAGAGGTGGGGGGCACAGACTGCGTTCTTCCCTACAACCTCTGCAGGGAGGTGGCCTTTGCCAGTTCCTTAATTTTGGACTTCTGGCCCCTAGAACTGTGAGAGAGTATGCTTCTGTTCTTTTAAGCCACTGTTTGTCGTAATCTCTTACAGCAAGCTTTAGAAAACTAATACACTCCCTTCACAGCTAAATTCCTCCAAAAAGTTATCTACGCTTACTTCTCCTCCATTCCTTATATATATATATCTTTTTTAGTATTTTTTTTGTTTTGTGTGTGTGTGCTGGGTCTTCACTGCTGCATGCAGGCTTTCTCTGGTTGCGGCACACCTGGGCCACCCTCGTTGCAGTGCACGGGCTTCTTGTTGCGGAGCATGGGCTCTAGGTGTGCACGCTCAGTAGTTGTGGCACACAGGCTTAGTTGCCCCTCAGCCCGTGGAATCATCCCAAAACAGGGATTTAAGCCAAATCCCCTGCATTGGCAAGTGGATTCTTCCCCACTGGATTACCAGAAAAGTCCTTCTCCACTCCTTTTTATCCAGTTTTCCTATACTGAACATTTTAACACATACAGAAAAGTTAATGATTGGGCTTCCCTGATAGCTCAGTTGGTAAAGATCCACCTGCAATGCAGGAGACCCCGGTTCAATTCCTGGGTCAGGAACATCTCCTGGAGAAGAGATAGTCTATCCTCTCCAGTGTTCTTGGACTTCCCTTGTGGCTCAGCTGGTAAAGAATCCTCCTGCATTGCTGGAGACCTGGGTTTGATCCCTGGGTTGGGAAGATCCCCTGGAGAAGGGAAAGGCTACCCACTCCAGTATTCTGACCTGGAGAATTCCAGGGACTGTATGGTCCATGGGGTCACAAAGAGTCAGATTCGACTAAGTGAGTCCTTCTCCATTCCTTTTTATCCAGTTTTTCTATATTGGGCATTTCAGTATATACAGAAAAGTTAGTGATTAGAGCAATAGGCAATAAGATATTCTAGATTCAGGAGTTACGAACAGTTTGCCCTATTTTCCTTTTCTATATATATTTTGGGGCTTCCCAGAGGGTGTAGTGGTAAAGAATTCACCTGCCAGTGCAGGAGATGCAAGAGATGCAGGAGATACAAGAATCGATCCCTGGCCCAGGAAGATCCCCTGGAATAGGAAATAGCAACCTATTCCAGTATTCTTGACTGGAGAATTCCACGGACAGAGGGGGCTGGCAGGCCATAGTCCATGAGGTCGCAGAGTTGAACGTGACTGAGTGACTGAGCACACACAGCACACTGTATATTTCAGTGTGTGTCTCCTAAGAATAGAGACATTCTCCTACATAGTCATAATACCTAAGCAAATTAAAAAGCTTTAACTTAATAAGTTAAAAATTAAGAATAATTCCCTAATATCATCTAACATTCAATCTGTATTCCAAAGTCCTTCCTTGTTCCCAAAATATACTTTATAATTTTTTTCCCTTGGTCTAGGATACAAGCAAGGCTTATATGTTGAATGTGATTGTTCGGTTCAGTTCAGTTCAGTCGCTCAGTCATGTCCGACTCTTTGCGATCCCATGAATCGCAGCACGCCAGGCCTCCCTCCCTGTCCATCACCAACTCCCAGAGTTTACTCAAACTCATGTCCATCCAGTCGGTGATGCCTCTTTTAAATTTGCATTAATCTCCCATTTCTTTTGTTTTTTAACAACTTTGATAACTTTTTAACTAACTTGGCCTGTATTCTTTTTTTTAAAACATTTATTTATTTATTTGGCTGCGTCGGGTCTTTGTTGGGTCCTGCAGGATCTTTTCTTGCCACACTGACTCCAGCTGTGGCACGTGGGCTCCGACGCACACCAGCAGTATCAGTGCACCGGGCTTAGTTGCTCTGCGGCGTGTAGGGTCTCAGTTCCCTGACCAGGGAAGGAACCTGCATCCCCTGCGTTGCAAGGCGATTCCTTTTTTTTTAAACTTTTTTTTCAGATCATTTATTTGGCTGTGCCAGGTTTTAATTGTGGCATATGCGATCTAGTTCCCCCACCAGGGATCGAACCCAGGCCCCCTGCACTGGGAGCCCAGACCCTTAGCCACTGGACTGTGAGGGAAGTCTCTGGCCCATATTCTTATAGTTGGCCAGCATTCTGGATTTATCTGATTGTGTCACTTAGCCGGATCCTCTACCAGCTACAGTTCTTGTATACTCCAAACTGAGACTTTCAGCCCTGATTTTCTTTCTCTGGAATGAGTGATAATCGCTCAGTTGTGTCTGACTCTTTGCAACCCCATGGACTGTAGCCCACCAGGCCCCTCTGTCCATGGAATTCGCCAGACATACTGGAGAACACTGGAGTGAGTTGCCATATCCTTCTCCATCTTTCTCTGGAGCATTCATCTGAATCAGTTTCCCCTCTATGGTTGTTTACTATCTCTCTCCACTAGAATGTAAGCTCCAGAGGGAATCAACGTGTGTCTGTTGGGTTACCTGTTCCAGTCAATTCTCTAACCAATGCATCACAGGTACTCAGCATGTAGGTACTGTGTGAATCAGTCCTTCAATTCAGTGACTACTTGTCTCAGTACTATTTAACACCTATTGAGAACTTGCTATAATAATTTATGCTGTTTCTCAGAATATCTCAGATTTTTTGAAGCCTTGAATTCCTGAAAATGTCGTTCCACTCGTCTAGGCTCACAGAGGTGTGGAATTTCCCCTAGCAATTTGAAGGCATACCTCTTTATTACCCATATCTCCCTGGCCATCAAGGGTCCAGATCTATTTTATGCTTGAGTCACTGTACCCAACCAGGTGTTTGGTATATGTGGCCTGTTTTCTTCTCCTTGGATCCTTTATTTCTGCTTATTTATCAGTCAGAAGTTAATTTTTTTGGCCACACCACCCAAAATGTGAGATCTTAGTTCCCTGATCCCTTAGTTCAGGGATCAAACCCTCGCTCCCTGCAGTGGAAGCACAGAGTCTTAATCACTGGACCACCAGGAAAGTCCCTGGTTAGAAGTTTATAGCTTGCTGTTTCTTGCATTCTCTAGGAACTCTGATCTCATAGTTAAGGTAGTAAAGTGGAGATATTGGGTGTGGACAGAGTTGTAAAGATAAACTACAGAAGGCTCAAACCTATCAGTAGGATCGTCTTAGCAAATGAGGCTAGCTAACATTGACTGAATTCTTATAATAATCAAAATAATCTCGTAGGTACTATACTGAGCACTTAACATATTCTCTATCATCTAATCCTTCCAACAACCCTCTAAGATAAGAACTGTCAGTCTCTCAGCTCTACTTAACTAGAAACTGCCTGTGCCAAGCCTAGAGCCAAGGCAAGCCTGAACCCAGAACCGCATGGGGAACCATTGTACTGAATTGCTTCTGCTCTTGCTAGCTGAGCACGACAACCTGTTCTAGCCTTTCACAGCATGGTCTGCCATTCTGGCTGGGAGTCAGGGAGCAAGGTTGTGGAGCCACCTGTCCATTCATTCAATGAATGCTTATTTCTTAAAAATTATTATTATTATTTTTTTGCCATGCCACGTGGCATGCAGGATCTTAGTTCCTGGACTAGGGATCAAATCTGTGCCCCCTGCCGTGGAACAATGGAATCTTAACCACTGGACCACCAGGGAAGTCCCAGTGAATGCTTGTTGAATGAACGCTTCAGAGGCAAGTTAAGAACATAAATGCCAAAAGACAATGATGTTTATTTTCTTTCTCAGACCTCTGCCTTCCCAAGATCAACCACTCTGGGCCTCCTCTGGTGATATCTGAGTGTAGAGAAACTGTTGCCCCTCTTCTAAGAGGCATGCACAGACACCCAGTCAAGACGGACAGTTTTCTGTTATGTGAGTCTCTCAGATTGCGCTTCACAGTATATAAACTGTGAACTAAATCATCAGACTTGTTCTTTGGCTGAATTACATTTTCTCCTGGAATATGAGATGCATTCCACTGAGACCACAGAAAGAAAAAGTGAAGATCAAGACACCATGACACCACCTTGTGTAAGTGCAGATATTTTCAATCATCTGAGTAGCTAGAACTTTATATAATATATATATATATATTTACTAAACTTAACCAAAATGTGCACATTACAGGGAATTGTGGGCTTTTGGGTGATTTTATATGTTTTTATTATTCTTTCTTTGCATATTCCCAAAGATCCCTGTTTTTGTCTTTCTTTTGTCTTTTCCTTTTTGGCCACAAATTGCGACAGTCGGAACTTCCCTGACCAGGGGTTGAAACCGTGCCCCCTGCAGTGGCAGCTTGGAGTCTTAACCACCGGACTACCAGGGAAGTCCAAGATCCCTGTTCTAACAACAAGTTGTATAAAAGTGCCTTTATTGTGTGGCTTTTGTTCAAGTGCCTTCTTGGTCCCATTAATTCATTCAGCCAACACTGAACACTCACCAACGTGCTAGTTGGAAATACAACGAATATAAGGGACCAGGTTCTTACCCTCAGCTTCCTGTCCGTCTCATCCTGACAGAGATGCCTTAGTAAACCAGTTACCACACACTGTGAGAGGGCTTGAAGGGACCTATGTACTTTGTCTGGTGGGAAATGCAGAGGAGGCAGGGTGACTGCTTAGAGAGGTGGTCCCAGAAGGCTTCATGGTGGAGATGACCATTTGGGGCTGGACTTAGTAGGGTGAGAAGGGGTTGACACTGGGTGAGAAGAGGACAGCAAACATTCTAAGCAGGAAGAATAGTGTTGCCAATGTATGATGACCAGAAACCATGTGACTCACTTGGGAAAAGGTGAAAAAAGTAGTTTGGTGTAGCTGGAACAGAGAGAGGATTATAGAGACTGGGAGGAGGTGAGCTGGGGGCGGGGGGAGCCTTGCATGCAAGAATAAGGAAACTGGCCTTTGTTCTGTAGGTGACAGGGAAAAAGACTCCAGCATGCCTGCTTTTCATCATTTGCTGAGCAGAGATTGAGTCAGCTGGGAGCAGCATGGGAGTGGGTCAAAATGGGACAGTAAGTAGGTCCCTGGCACAGAGTCCCCTGCTCAGGAGGTCTGTTCATTAGATCACTGGAATGAACAGTTCAGAAGTGAGAGGAGGAGACTACAAACTAAGGCACAGAAAATGGGGATGAAAACAAGAGGACAGACTGAAGGATAAATCCTATTTGACAGAATTTGCTGATTAATTATGAATGATGGTGATGAGGGAGACACCAGGTTTACAACTAATCATAGCTGATGTCTTTCACCAAATGCCTACTTTGCAGGTAGATTCTTTGCCTGCAGTATCTCCTTTTCTCCCATAATCACCATATGAGAGGAGTTATGTTATTATCTGCATTTTATAGATGAGGAAGTTGGGCCCTGGAGTGGTCAAAGTGTCTAGGCAGATATATCAGTTTGAATCCAAGGATTTGAACCCAAGGGAAGGAAGGAAAGCAACCACCAGGAGCAGTTAAAGAGTGGCAGATTTAGGCTCCCCAGATTCACAGCTAGGGTGCCCAAGGTCCATATTAGGCCACAGATGTGTACTGCTTGGCCCATAGAATATTTTTTTTTCAAATGAATTTTTAGAAGTTCTTTTTTTTGGGGGGGAAAAAAAGGTTTTTTTTATGTGACCAGTTTTAAAGTCTGTTGAATTTATGGCAATATTGGTTCAGTTTTATGTTTTGATTTTTGGGGGAGGGGCCATGCAACATGTGGGGGATCTGAGCTCCCTGACCAGGGATTGAACCCACATCCTCTGCATTGACAGGCAAAATCTTAATCACAGGATCGCAAGGAGAGTCACTTGGCCCATAGAATATTCTGAAAGCAGTTTTTAGAACTAATTGCTAATGTTTAAAAATAGAGTTCCTATTAAAACCTGGGTTTCTGGTTTTTCCTGAAAAGTAAGAAGCTCTGGCTGCCCTGGCCCGCAGAGCAACTCTTGCTGCCCATCTGCCTTGCGTTTGGCGGCTGTGGACCAGAGCCCGCCAGCCTGCCCGGGTCCCTGCCCCTCTGCAGATGCTCAAGTTTGCTGGTTCAGTTTGACACCAGGCTGTGCCTGTTCATTCGATCTCATGTCAAGCCCAGGCCTCCAACTGATGGCCAAATACTCTTTCTGAATGTTAGGGAATATAAGGTAAAAACAGTAATGCGTTTTGCTTTGTTTTTTCTTCTGTGCTGTGGGAATTGAGAAAAAGTAAATACCCACCCATGCTTGAGTGCCCACAAGGAGGAGGTTTACCTACAGGCCAAAGGTCAATGGTCATAGTTCCCGGAAACAACACCCATTAAAATGAAGTGTCAATCACCCCTTGGAAAATGGCCAAAGTAATGAGAGCTATACAAATCATGTTGTGATTTTTTTGTGTTTAATTTGTTTTGTAATTGATTAATTTGCTTGAATTTTTAAAAAGTTTTTTTTTGCTGTGGACCATTTTCAAAGTTTTTATTGAATTTGTTACAGTATTGCTTCTATTTAATGTTTTGGTTTTTTGGCTGTGAGGCATGTGGGATCTCAGCTTCCTGATCAGGGATCGAACCCATTACTCACTGCTTAGTGAAGTCTTAACTACTGGACCGCCAAGGAAGTCCCTGCTGGAATTTTCAGCTGTGAACTTTGAACATATGATAAGGAAGTTTTTGGAGAAAACATGTGTGTGTGTGTCATAGCTTACATAGCTTGGAATTCTCTGTAGACATTCAAGTTCAGAACATTTTTTAAAGGTTTTTGCAATTTACTAAAGGTTGAAACATGTTTCTGTTCCATTTAGTTAGAATGTGAGGCACAGGATGACAAATAGGTATCTGTCCATGTTAACTTTTGTTCCATCTAAGATGTAACAAGGGCCATAGTAGCCACCAGTTTGGACAAATGATAGATTTTATGTTTGTGTGAGATTGTTTGCAATTTGTAAACTGCACTTAAGAGACCCAGGTGCAAACAGGTGCAGGGAAGAGAGGAGACAGCGGAGCTTTAGGAGTTTGGCTCCTAATCTGTATCCTGTATGCGACCCCAGAGGGTTTTCCTCTGTGCTTGGCTGCCTGACTCAGGGACTGAAGGAAGGCGGCAGCTGCTGCTCCTGGGCACGGATTTCTCAGAGGCCGCTGGGCACTCCTCTGGGATGGCCACTGGGTCTCAGAGGTTCATTGTCCATCTTGCAAGGGTTATCGTGTTGTCAGACCACCCTGACCCAACTCTTAAGACGTCTGCCCTGGGATCTTCCCCCTAGTGGGCCCAAATTAATCTCACAAGGTTTGCACTGCAGATCAATTTGATCTCAGGAGCTATTCCTACCCTGATTACTTAAGGCTTTCGAGGTCATGCTCCTTGGACTCTGACTCCTACCCAGCACATTCTCCTTCCTCCCTTCCTCTCCTCCTCAGAAATTCTCCACCCCCAGTCCCCTGGTGTGCACACCCAGGGTGGGACCTGCATGTGTGTTGTGGTCAGTTCTGCCATTTTTGGCAGTATCGCCTGGAATCCATCATGTCTTGGTGATATCATACAGACAAATGCCCGTATTAGGTGGATGGCACCATGCTGAGCCAGGGACACAACAGACAGGTGCCTCACCCTTGGGGACAAGAGGAACTTGTCCCCAACTTGGTACTTTATCTCAGTCACATTATAATTGGCTCAGTGGTAAAGAATCCACCTGCCAACACAGGAGACTAAAGAGACACAGGTTCAATTCCTGGGTCAGGAAGATCCCCTGGAGAAGGAAATGGCAACCCACTCCAGCTTTCTTGCCTGGAGATTCCCACAGAGGAGCCTGGAAGGCTACAGTCCATGGGGTCGCAAAGAGTCAGACATGACTGAGCACACACACGTATTGTAATTTCATTTTTGTAGTATCACCTATAAAGCCTAGACTCCCCCAAAGATCCAGACAGGTTCTTGGTAAAATTCTACTGCTTCTTCATTCTTTGACAAGTATTTCTTCAGCACCTATCAGGCACTATTCCAGAAGTCAGGATTGTAACAGAGAACAAAGCTGACAAATATCCCTGTTCTGTTGCTTATGCTATTGTGGAAGGAGACAGAAGACCTGTGTCCGTATGTAATATGAGCTAAGAATTTTTGAGAAAAACCAAGCAGGGTAGCAGAGAGAAAATGACAGAGGGGAGTGGCTGGACTGTGTCTTTTAGAGAAAATGGTTGGGGAAGGCCTTTCTGATGAGATGACTCTCCACGTCAGGCCCAGAAAGGGGTGAAAGAGAAGCAACTGGCTGGAGGAAGTGCTTTTCAGGCAGGAGGCTGAGGGAACAGCGCCTCCCAGTGGTGAGCGCTCCTAGCCCGTCTGAGGAATAGGAAGTCACTGTGGGAACATCCGGGCTCCTCGGTTTCCTCCTGGGCAAGTCCATGGGCCGGTTGAGAGGCACAGATGAATCATTTACGTGGAGACATTTAAGTAAACCATCAAACACTGTATCAAAGTTATTCTCTTTATATTGACTTCATCAAATATTTGTAGAATGTCTAAATCATCATGGATCATAATTATTTACGATTCTGCCCTTTCATTTTTTTTTATTATTGGGGTGAAATCCACATAACGTATAATTAACCATTTTAAAGTGTATGATCCAGTGAAATTTAGTGCCTTCACGTGATTGTGCAACCATTACCTCTATTTAGTTCCGAAATTTTTTCATCACCCTGCCCTTTCATTTGTAAAAAAAAAAAAAATTATTTATTTGGCTGCACAGGAGTCTTGGTTGCAACATGCATGATCTTCAGTTGCAGCATGCGGGATCTTCAGTTGCAGCATGCGGGATCTTCAGTTGCAGCATGTGGGATCTAGTTCCCTGACCAGGGATTGACCTGGGGCCTGCTGTGTTGGGAGCACAGAGTCTTAGCCACTGGACCACCTGGGAAGTCTCTCATTTTTAATATTAGTTTGGCACCACTCTTTTTTTAAATTTATAATTAATTTATTTGACTGTGCTGGATCTTAGCTGCCACATGGGAGATCTTGAATTTTTGTTGCCACATGTGGGATCTTTTTTTTTTCTTCTTCTTTTTAAACTGTGGCATGCAGGATCC